CTTGTAAAAGTTTACATACAGAAATTTTGCAGCAAATGTTCTGATTCACACGACGGAAATCTTTACATGCAGAAAAGACGCGTTTTACTTTTTACTTATGTGTAATATACACATCAGTAGGTAACTCATTTTTTGCATGTACAGATATTGCATGATACGGATGCCACTTGGGCTTTTAGTAGAGTCGTAGGATGAATAGCGTGCACAGCCCTCTTGAAAGTCACCTTTCACACTCACGTGAAATGCATCGTATTCGACACTCGTTATGCATGATCCCCATTTGACCGTAGTTAGAAACGTGGGGCTGCGGACTTTTTACGCACGTTGAAAAAGATTGACATATTAAATTGGCAAATAATCTCTATTGAAATTGCATATAGAAATAGAATTAAAATTTGCCTTTGGTGACGCTTTTCCTGCGAATCCCAAATTCTTTGCCGAAACCCTTCTTTATTATCAATTTCTACGCGCCCCTTTCACTTTGACGCCTTAGGGTTTAAAACCACAAAGCTTCTTATGTTAACGCTGCGCTACCTGGAAGTTCTCGCACGCTCATCGGCGTATCAATGCAGAATGGCAAAATTCTCTTCTAAAATAATATGGCAGTGTTTCGAACAAGAGGCCGATGCATTTCATTCACCCCAGCATGAAAATCAATTAATTAATTTTATGGGTCTGCGAGTACTTTACAGAGAACGCCTTCAAAGAGCTTTATTATGCACTGAAGCATGGTTTTCAATGTACCTGAAAGCGTGTATCAAATATCCTTTTGGTGGACTTTAACAATGCACGAGTATTGCAACCATTAATTCAAAGTTCAATGTTCTTCGTTAACCTTACTGCTTGAGAGGGTTGCTTCAGTGCAATGGCAGTGGTACATTCATTAAGATATATAGAGACGCTTGCAAAAATTTGAATGGATATGGGCCTAGGGCTAGGATTTTATGATTTTTGTCTGAGACATTGCTCTGTTATATATAAACGTCTTTCAGGATAAATTGAATTAAATTAGCAACTTGTTGGTGCATTTTTGCCATTCTTGAGGAATGGGGCATTTTTTGACTAATTTCTATAGCATTTTTGGGGTTTTTTGTATGTTTCACTTTGAATTTTTTGCATTTTGAAGGAACAGTGCTAATTTTTTTGATATTTTACGATATTTTTCTTGGCGAGCTTATAAATCTTTGCTAAAGTTTTGATTTTCATACAGTCTAGATTTCTAGAATCTTGCAATAAAAGTAGATACGATACCGACACGTGGTCATGACTGTACGGAAATAGAACAACTTGACGAAATAATTAGAAGGATAAATTAGTGCGCAAGGACAGGGATGCTGTAAGGTTTGTAGCGTGACGGACCCTTAGTGGTGCAGGGCTGGTACAAAGTTCGTCGGCGGAAAGGAATAATTGAAAGTCGTAGGTAGATGGAAATTTTTGTTGAACACCGCTAACGACCTTACAGTAACTTTATATCAAAAAATGATTAGGCTAAACTGCTGAATCTAATATGGTTCGTACGGCGAAATCAACAGGTAAATTTATAATGGCCTCGCAATCAAAAGATGTGAAATTGACGCAACGACCACTTAAAAAATAAATTAAATTAAATCACTTAGAATAATAATGTTTAAAAGAATTCTTTGAACTGGAATTACTTTTGGCGCGATCCGCTATAGGTTGTGATGGGAGATTGGAATGCTAGTGTGGGAAAGGAGGTGGTTGAAAAATACGGACTCGGTGAAAAGCATTTATATTTATTTATTTATTATGAATTAGCAATCAGAATAATACAACCTTCTATTAGCTAAATTTGGTTGGTAGACTGCCAGTGGAGTCTTTAGACAGTTAGTTCTTCTGGCCACTTCTTCTGTAGGTATCTTCATCTGGGGATCTTCTGATGCCAGTGGTGAAGACTCTCATTCGAATACATAAGCGTTGTATTACTTTAACGTTTGTACGACTTGCGCAACCCCATATCTGGCAGCCATAGGGCCAGATTATTGACTTATGTAATAATATTTTGTTTTCTAGGGATAGGTTGGAGTTTTTCCCCATGGTCCAGTACATCTGCTTCACTTTTAGATCAATTTGTTTCCGTTTCTTATTAATATGATGCTAGACTTTTGTCAATATGTAATCCCAGGTTACAGGTACTTGACTTCAGTCGAACGGGGAAGGATGGTACCACTGAAGATGACGGTAGCCGTCTTGACCTGGTGCTTTTCTACTTTTTATCTTCTTTGTCTCTTTCTCCATTTCGTTGGCAGTAATTTGCGTATCGGAAGAGACATTTGAGTGGCAATTGCATTTTTTCTTCTATGTCCTGGTCGATCTCATTGAAGTTTAGGTGGAAAACTTCAGCTAGGTGGCCTGCTCTTTCCTTGCCTAGTGAATCAGGTGTTTCCATTTTGTATAGGTGGGATAAGAGTTTTTCGCCCTTAGTTGCTTTCCAAATTGAATTGTCATGAGTGTTTATTGTCTGTAGGTAGGTTTCAAATGTTTCATTCTTATCAGTTTTTAGTTTTTCTTTAAGCTGAATTTTTAATTCGTTAAACCTTCTTTTGTCTTCAATACTATGGGTGCGTTGCCGTGTCTCTCTCGCTTGTCGTTTTTCTTTCCTCTTCCTTGATTCCATTTGGTATGATAGGACTGTTTATTTTTATATTTTCTGGTTGTGGCGTGGAGTTCCAATGCTTCCTGTACTACAGTTGTGAAATGATAAAAGAAATGAAAGAGGAGCTAAGCTAAAATGCTTTGACCGTGTTATCTATAATGTTCATTGGCTAACATCTTCATGACTTTCTTTTGCATTGGAAAAACTTTTTTTGCTTTAGAGGAATTACCCTTTTAACAGCAATACATTAAATGAGAGTAAAATAGTGCCAAATAGCATGCCTTAAGGGTGGTGGTGTTAATGCATACAACTGAATACCGAACGATCCTCGAGATCTTCACGCGGGCATCAATTTCAGGGATTGATTCTGACCCACCGGAAGAGCATAGCCTGTGAAACAAATTTTTTAATTTGGTATTAGTTTTCCTTTTATTGGAGGGGCCGATATACAGAACTGGATTTAAATATATTAATAAATTAAAAAATCGGATTGCGTATGCCTAAAATAAATTTTACCCAAAATCGTCCTGAAACTTTTATTTTCATGCCTACTTGCTGTCAGGAAAGTTTAGTTTCAATGACAAAGGCAGAGCAGACTACGTTTCCTGCCGCTTAGGCAGGTCTATAATGACTCCTGTCATCACTGACAGATTGACATTAATCAAAAGTTCTATATAAAAATTGAAATTTTATATTAAAATACGATTTCGGTTAAAATTTAATACAAAACTCGTCAGTAAAGTGACACTTCACCTGACTGGGAAATTAAAGTACGAGGCCCCATTTCAATATTTCTTCTCCAGTATTGTGTCATTTTCCCGACTTTTATATAAGTAACTCTTTTGTTTCGGCATTTAAATATCTTAACAAAGAAAAATAGCAAATATTTTTAATTTATATTCATAGTTGCTTGAGATTTAAGGAATATTTACTAACACAGAAAACTGGACATTCATACTCGTATGTCCTTTGCTACAAGAATGATAAAGTAACCCCATTTTTTTAAAGTTTGTTCAGTTTTTGGGCTGTAACTTTTTGGTTCGTTAGTCTAGGTAGTTGAAAAACCTTTCTTATATCCTTAAGAACATGTGTACCAATTTTCCTAGCGATTCTACATTTCTAACCGAAGTTATCGTACACACAAACAGACAGACGGTCATACGTAATTGGTAATAATTATAAATGATTTCGACGATCGTTAATAAATCCACGGAGAGAACTCCCATACACAAATTCGATAAAGAATTCACCTGCAAAATTTCATCGTAATCGGTCTATTCTTTTCGAAATATTGTGCTGATGGACAGACAGTCGAACAGGTACCGCAAAAACACAACAAAAACTTAAAAAAACGCAATTGCAGTTTATTGAGAATAGTGCCTTTCGAGAGCAGCGAATAACAAAAGAGGAGGTACAAATCTTGTCTATTTATACTATAGTAGTACTAATCAAAAGTGAACGTTTACGTCTTCTGAATTATAGCTCTCGTGATTCATTAAAGGTTATTCATTTCAAGAGTAAGTGCTTAAATGCTAAATCTACCCTAACGATTTAGGTATATACTATACGTTCTTTAACGCGAATTTTTACACCAAATCTTTACAATTTATGTTTTACTTTTTGGATTTTTCGTTCATATATCGACTAACATAAAAGTTTTTGCATACTATCGTCTGAAATTGTAACATTTTTCACTAATTTGGAGAAAGTTTGGCTCGATATACTCACCAAAACCTTGAACGTATGATAAGTCTGTATAAAACTGCAGTAGATGTAAGCTACGTTTTTATTTCCATTGGAAATTCACGCTTCAGTTTTCAACAGAAAAGTCAAGACCGAAATTCTTTCCTTATTAATTTTGACGCACGATGAGAGCTAAAATTAATGTAAATACCTACCCTTAATGTATAATCAGCTTCGTAAGCGTTTATTTTATGAAGTATACATCTTACATTAAAACTAAAAAAAGCGCCCATCGCCAGTCGAATTTAGAGCTCTTACGTACTAAAATTTATTACGCTTTGACGAAGTAAAACGGATACCTTTTTAAGAGGATTAAACGTTAAATTAAATAAGTACGGAAAAGTAGTGGGGTGCCTGCTTTTTAACTAATGAATTTTGTTTTCTTTTCTCATTTCAGTATGTTCTACAATTTTTCAGCGCTGACTTTTCCTCTAACTTATATCCCGGTTGGGTGAGCGAGACACGAATGTTTGATATACCCTAAGCTAATAAGAAAATGAGTTATAGGTACCTAATTATTCTGCATATCCAACGCTTCATTTTAGGGATTTATGTAATCGTTTGTCAGAAGTTTATGGACAGTTTCCAGTTACCTCTTTATCATTGATACTCGAAAATGTATTAACACCTTTTTCCATTTCAGGTGAGCACGTTGTACAGTGTGTTGCATGGCGAATTGGTGAGTATATAAAATAAGCCACACAGATTAACTTCTATTATTGTAAAAGCGACTAATTCGTACTTAGTTACGTGTACAGTGCTTAAAATAATCATACGGGGTTTTACGTTGAGACCTTTACCCTACTCCACGTTACTGGTAGCATTTAAACACTTCGATCATTCTTCCCAACATAAAATTTGAGTGGCCACTTTTATTGCTAATGGCTCACATAATCAAATCTTTACAGCATTACCGAAACTTGCGTGTGCTAGCTTGAGATTTTGAGTTGTTGCAGTCGAAAAAAAAATGTAGCAAACAACATAAACAAAATATGAAAACAACAATCTTTCGTAGAACTTAACAGCAGTTATCAAAGTAAGCACAATAATCCCCAGAATGCACTCACTGAATTTCAGTATCACACATAGATCCCTAAATCTTGTACTGCACTTCCATTTTCCTCTTTCCTCCCAAGGAAGCAAGGAAACAACAAAGTGACAGCTATTCCACTTTCCCTTTGACGAACGAAAGTATACTTATACCCGTGTTTGCCGAATACCTTAAAGCCATAACAAGACCTACTAATATTATAACTACTATGTTCCAGAAGGGGATTCATTGAGGGAATTAACTTGCATTTCTTTGGCAGAACTCTGTTGATTTTGATACTTACGCAAATTCAGTAGCGGAAACGAGCGGAGCTTTTTAACTAAAAGTCACTGTTTCAGGATTTTTTTCTTCTAATTACTACTTATCTTGGCCATATGCTAGCATGAAATGGACTGTGAAATCGTGTTTATTGACAATCTGGCATAGTGTAATGCAAAATCATTACGCAACTGTACTCATAATAATGCATATGAAAAGGCGAAATGATCGTAACTTTGGATTTCATAGGGATATAAATTCCTAATTCATTGCATAACCATATACCAGTAGCGATAAAGTTCAACCTTCGCAAACAATTTGACACTATAAGATTGGTTCTTTGGCGAATAAACGCCCTTCTTACTGTTTATGTCCTGAACGCTTGAAAGGCTCAAACCTCGTCCAATTGTTAGTAGTTTGTGATTAATTTCTTCCAACGCTAGCAAAATCAAGCAATATCAAATTCATTTTCGGAAGGAAAACGGAGGTAAACGATATGCTAAAGAAACGAGATGATGTATAAGAAAATAATATACGGTCGCGATGTTATGATTAGCTAATGCTATTAAATAATAAAGACGTTAGAAAGCCTTTTTCAAATTTGTTTTTTAAATACAGGGAATATTTTAAAGCTAGTTTTCTAATTTCTAATTTTGAAAGTTTAAGCGCTTCAATGTTAGAAGTTATTCCAGTTTAACGAGCGGCTATTTCAACTTCACAGTGAATACCCAAAAAATTTAATTTTATTGTTTGTTACTTATTAATTTTAGGGTAATTTTAAAGGTCGATAAAGTGAGCACCCCCACTTTGCCCAAATCAAATAAAAATACGCCTATAATTTACGCCTAATTAAAGACTGATTTGTACCCACAAAATTAGAATTTGTACCCGCTTAGTTCCGCCGGAAAACCGATTTTTAGAGTGGGGGTTCTCACTTGAATCAAGCTAGCATTCCCACTTTTCGCGATTGGAACTTTATTAGTTGCATCAGAAACTATGGCTAATTTGTACCTAAGTTAGGTTTTCGTTGTTTGAACAATGTGCTCATTATTTAAACAATTAAAAAATAAGGGCTAAAGGACTAAAATCATCGACATAAGATGTAGAAAGCGACGGGAAACCACTGCATTAAAGATCTGTTGATATCCCAAATTGACGTTAGCAGAAATGGGAAATGAAAAAAAAGGTAATTCGCACATTAAAGTTAATACCAGAAGTAAAGTATCTCAATTGGGTTTCCGGGGGGAGAAATATACGAATTGTGTATCCAAGAAGAAAGAGAGAAATAGGATTAGATTCGCGACGTCGAATGTTAGAACCCTTCTTCAAGACGAAAGTTAGAGAACTTAGAAAGAGAAATACTAAGGATTAATATAGACTTTATTGGTGCCAGATAGATTTTTTTCCTTAAAAATGTACTATGATTTTTGAGTCACTTTAGAAGTTCACCTTTTTGTGCTTTACAGGTGATTTTTTTGAGTTCTAAGTCAGGCTGAAGGTACTTTTTTTGTTGAATATTGTGATAATTGCGATTTATTTTAATACAGAAGTTAACCGTACAAAATTGGTTATTCATGCCAATTTATTTAAAATTTTGGATTGCATTCCCTAGTGCCAGAGAAGTGAGAAGAGATGGGTGTGGACTTTGGAGTAGAAAAAGGAGAACATTTCATCTTCTATTATAGTGGAGATAAAAAAGGAAGAAACTGAGTGGAATTTATGGTTAATAAGAAAGGACAGTAAAGCGTTATCGTAGGAATAAACGACTGTGATAGAATCAGAGCAATGAAAGTAGGTACAATATCATGACGATAAAGAAATAGGAAAACTGTACGAAAGAATTAGAGGAATAATTAGTAAAGAAGGACAGAGATGCTGTGAGATTGTCCTGAGAGATTGGAATGCCAGTGTGGGAAAGGAGGAAGTTACGGGAGTGGTTGGAAAATACAGACTCAGAGATAGGTATGAAAGATAAGCTGATTGAGTCTGCAAAGAAAATGATTTGTTTGTTAAGACCTCGGTTAAGAACACATGGTTTGAGAAGCATAAAAGAAGGCGCCATTTAATTTCTAAAACAGTTTACATTTTGTACTAAACAATTTGCGAAAGATGGTAATAACTAAACTAAGTTAGGTAATTCTAATTCAAATCGAAAATGTGGGTAATGTTATTCCCATATTCAGTCAATGAGCCCCGTACGCTGCAGGAGGAAAATATTTGTAATATTTGCCTGGAACCCTGAATATATCTTCAAAACAACATTTTTTATGTGGTATTCAAAATTATAAAAAGTACGCACTTTAATATTGTGGCCGTACTTCTGCTTGGTCAAGGAAGGCATATCTTTTGAATGCCAACTACTAGTTTTCATTATTATAAAAGACTACACTTTTTCGATATAACAGCATAAAAGGTGCGTACTTTAAGAACACGTAATAAACAATGGTGGTCGCTATTTAAAAAGATATGCCTCTCTTGACCATCCATATATCCACCCTGCATGTATCTTATGTATTCATTTATCCGATATATTTTTTAAATTATTTATAACAAATATGCTGTTTGGCAGTATTTTCTGTATTTTCAAGTTTTCAGTATTTTCAATTGCATACTGCCTTTCCGCTTAAAAAAGTGAATTGTACAACAGGCGCTGAAAAAAACCACAGGCCTTGGATCACCTCTAAAATTACTGTCCAATATCCATCGCAGCAGTTTTCTCAGGAATCATAGAAACATGCCCAAACAAGTGACGAAATACCATCGGTTACAAATGTAAAATTAAAAACACAAACTTTCAGAAATATGGGATAGGTACACAATAATTTAAACCAGGGTGTAATGTAAACGGAACTAATTTAAACAAGGAACTCCAGAAAGATTTGGAGTAGAGAGATGAACTTTCATTGCCGCAACATCCCTAGACATATAAAAAACTAAGGTATTATTGATCTGCTAGCGCCTGCTTTCGGAGGATCGAAACGCGAAAACCTCGTCCTTTGGGGGTTTCGCAGCGATTGTCCCCGCGGACTGGAGACTTTTTCCGCACAGGTGTTAAACGATTTATACCATTTATGTACGCAAAATCTTTCAGATGTGACGTCTTGGTAAAAATTAAATTGTTTTGGATGGAAATCGCCCATGCATCTCGGATTTGTTGCAATGTAAGTTCTTTCTGTTTGGACTACCGGTGATAAGCTTGGAAGTCGAAGATAACGAAGCGCTTAAAATGTGCACCGATTCCTGAACGTCCAATAGGATAAGAAGGTTACAAATCGATGTGAAAAATGTGTTTCTAGAGCGATAAAGTACGTACACAACTACAATATAGGTCGCACTGTGAATTCTGTTCGTCTATAGATTTCATCCCTGAAATCTCGTACAGAAATTGGCCCTAATAAAAAATCTGAAAGTTTATTTGTAAAAATGTTCCGAATAAGTACACGTATTAAACTTTAGTAGGTAACTTTGAATTTGCCCTTTTACGATTTTGTTTAATTGTAGCTATGCAGAAGTTAATACAATTATCAGCTCAATGTAACAGATGTATCGTAATGGTAACATACGAATTTGTCTGCGGAGGTGCCAACTCCGTCTAGGAAAGAGTAGCTTTGACGAAATATTCTTATCTTAAATCGGTTCGAATATACTAAGTATCTAGGTAAGTTAATGTAGATGAACTACAATTAGGATCAATGTACATAAATATTTTGCAACATAAATTTCACATCATTACAATAGAAGTAATATTCACTTAAGAATTTGCTTCTTTGGTCAATTTGAAATGAATAATTTGTCATTTTTTAAGAATAGAGTAGGTTTGCAATATGGCATTCAGCTTAAGACAAAAAAATTATTCAACATTCCCAGGAATAATAAATAAGCCCCCGAAAAGAGCCTCGATTACGTGAGCGAAACAGCAAATCAATTTAGTTGACCTTGATTGACCCCGCGAATTAAACAGAAAATAAAAATCGAGAGACACCCTAGATACAAACCACACAATCATTGGCTTAGATAAGAACTCATTTTACTTTAACCAAGATAAAAACCACGTACATAGCTGCAGGCGTCCAAAACACAAATTTTTATTAATTTTCAAACAAAATGGTGTCAGGTGACATGGTGCGTAACAGGTTTTTGTTAATAAAAAAAAGTCAGAAGAGGGAGAATATTCGTTCAAAATTCCCTCAATCTCCCAAAACGCAAAATTTCCTCAGAATTAATAATATCCCCTGTCTTCAATATTCAGGGGTTGGTCACAATACACTTTAATCGGCAAATTTTTCTTCTTTCCTCAATTTTTTCTCAATAATTTCTCGAAATTTACTCCAGTTGTCATCATCACTAAACTTGTATTGGTAGAAATAATT